CAGGCCGTGGCCCTGTCTAACTCCCTGTGCAGGCCGTGGCCCTGTCTAACTCCCTGTGCAGGCCGTGGCCCTGTCTACCACCCTGTGCTGCCTGGTATTAGGCTCCAGGCCGCCTCCTGAGATCCTCACAGGGTAAGAGGGTATGAGACAGATGGATGATTAAGGGAGTGATTCCTATCAATTCATAAACACATATCAGATGAAATGAAAAACAATGAGGAAATAAAACTTGTTGGAAAGAAGTGCAATAAGACATAATGTGTCACTCGGGACAAAGAAAAAAACAGCCTGACATTTGTCTTCCTATGGGAGGCTGTGTTGTATCATGGGAAACAGGAAGACTTGCCAGAAGACGCACACTTTTTTTTGACTTGTGACCTCTGACAATAACAGAGTGAGGGAAAGCAGTCAGTTTGTCAGAAGTCATCTCACTTACCAACTGAGCTAAGGTGGAATTTCAGAGACATGTCAGGGAAGATTTCCCAATTTCATCATTTCAATATCATACCTTCTGTTCAATATTCCTCTTTTTTAATACTTAAGTGTTACTTGTTTTGTTATTGTGAATTCTATATTATGTTTACCTTTACAGAGTGATTGCCAAACTGTGAGTATGCCAAATAAGTGCAATCATATGGATAAACAACAAAATGTCATCTTGTTTTGGAACAAGCTGTTGGAAATTCAAAGCCCTTATTAAGCTTTAATGACACATTAGGATTTCAGCACAAGGAGCTCCATGGTCCTGCCTGGTCCTTCATGTATCATTAAGATGCCTCTTAGAGACTTTTCCAAAACTGTAATGCTATATACCCTTTACGTTGTGGCAGCACCGTGACCATCGGAAAGGAAAATGGTAATTCCAAACAAAGGTGTGTTAGGAAAGTTCCACAGCACCACAAGGGAGGGCTCTGTATTGTTTAGATATACCTTCTACATATATTATGAGTGTGACATTGGAAAGGACAGTAACAATCTGCAGCTGCCTGTCAGGGAACACGTTCTCAGCATTTATTTTCATTCCAACAGCAGAGTCCCCAATGAGTTCATCTTGTTTCCACATAAGTAGTAATGGCCAGACAAAAGGCATCATCTGATAGCCAATGAAAACCTAAATGACCTTCTACACAAACAGGTAGAAGATGCAGCTATATTTACATTATTTTACGACATGTATTATGATATAGGATGCAGGACCCTGTGACCATGACAGGACTGGATGGATTGTGATATACTGGCAATGTGATTACGATAACATGGTTCACTTGACCAGATCCTTAGGGGCATGGTGCCTGCACCTCCGTCTAAAGAGAGGAGACCATTAACTTGTCAGATTGAAGGTAGTCTGGGCTAAATGTAAGTCAATGAAGATAAAGTCCATTTAACCTGAGGTACTTCAAACCAGACAAGTTATCCGGTTAAGCAAGAAATCTGGCCTTGTGACACAGGCCCCCAGTCATGACAGATAGATCATTATTCACGCCGCTGTCAAGTTACAGCCTCACATCAATAAGGGAATATGCTACCACCATTCATCAGAAAGACAAATCATGTATAATTAATTCATATTAAAGGATTCTATCAAATAAGATAAATACATCTCGAATTAAGTCTTTGAAAATAAAAAGCCCCAAATATCCATTACAGAAAGAAGTGTGGGAAAAAGTGTTTGAACGCAAAAGCCTCTTTCTGTTTGAATGCATGATCTAAGATGGAAAATGCACATACTCTTTTACACATTGCACAGTGGCAGAAACCCAAAGAAAACAACCCTCCCCTCTCCCAAACACACGCACACAGTACTAACAGAATTCCAAAATGTCACTCTTTTGCTCCTTTCATGGAAGAACATGAGAAATGCGTTTGACGAAATCTAACACAGACAAAAGAGCTATTACATCATCTTCCCAGAATAAATGTAATGGTGTTTAACCACGTGGTTTTAAACTAAATAATGTATGTTGCTCAAAATATAGATTAACATTGTTTCTTACTTTCCACTGTTTTGAAATCAAATCCATACTGGGGATGGTTAATGGTTTAGATAGAGCAGCTTAAGGCAGATACAGTGTGTAAGGTGTTTGGAATTTCAGGGCCTGACTGTGAAGGACTTAGGTTATACAGAGGCTGGTGTCTATACTTGTGTGTCCTGGGGGGGCTTTGGTGGGAGACGTCCTCGCTGACACTCGCTCCTGACAGCTGTAGCTGCTTGATATCCTCCTCCACTTCCTTGCTCGTCTCCTCAAGCTCCTTAATGACCTGCGATGACCAACATCAGTGTGAAGGAGGGCATCCTACCAGGCAGGCCATTCAGCTCAGAATTATAAACTTACTGATTTTAAATAGTAACAAATAGCATACCTTTTTGTGAAAGTCAGTTTCTCTCCTTATTCTGTCATTTTCTGCCGTAGTCGTGGAAAGGCTAAGACTAACACTGGACAGCTACAGTGGAAATATAATGACCATTAAAAATGATCACTTTATTAAAATAATACTTAATTCTTAATTGACTTATTTCTTTTACTTGCTTAATACTTAATTATACTGTGCACACTTTTGCAACTATGGTGGATTTTTTTTACTTCAAATATTTGTTCTATTAATTATTTTTTACTCTTGAAATTGGTCATATTAAAGGTCATATTAAAGATGGAAAAACATTTGACATGATTTATCTTGATTTCTTGGCTTTACTTCACAAAAATCTACAATTTCAATAAAGGTGTGTAGATTTTTTATATCCACTGTATAATCTAAAAGTTAGATGTTACTGCCCATGACAAAGCATGGTTGCCCGCCGTAAGGGGGTATCTGTTACCTTCCTCATTTCCTTCACCTGCTCAATCTCCCTTCTGAGCTGAGCGATCCTCGATTCATTCACATGGTATTGCCTGTACTTGTAGGTCCTCAGTGAGTTTACCTCACCACGGGCTTTCACCACCTGCAGCTCCACCTCTGCTAGCTGCCTCTGAAGTTCTGTCCAATCAGAACATGGGGGCGGGAAACATTGCCAGCCATACAAAACACACCAAGGACCTCATTACAGAGATCAAGGGATGCAGACAAAACAGAGAAAAATGTTGAAGAAAATAAAAGACATATGACTGTTTCACAAGTGGTATAAAAACTTTGAAACATCTTTTTAAAAGTTGGGGGGCATGTCACATATTTACAATGTTGAGGGAGTTACTAACAAAAGCAATCCATTACAGACAGAGGTGGTAAGTTCAGGTCCAGGAAGTACAAATCCAGAGGTTTAATTTCAACCAACCAGGTGAGGATAAAGAGTCACAGTTACAGGGTAACAAAGTGGTTGGTTGAAACAAAACCTTGGTCTGGATTTGTACTTTCTGAACCTGAATTTACCACCTCTGTCTGTAATGGATTGCTTTTGTAACGTCCCCAACACTGCACACTTATCAACCAAGGGCATCATTTTGGGTATGGATGGTATGGGCATGTCCCTACCAATACTGGGGGAGTACCGTGTACGTTTAGGGGGACGGGGGGGTTGGAGCTGATTTGGACCCTGCCAGTGTTGAAACCAAACCTATGCCCTTCTTCTCAGCCTGTTCATCTATTATTTTGGAATATCCTGCATATCCAGAATTAAACAAACATAGTGTCTGTTTTTTCCAGATTACCGCAGATGGCTTCCTTCGCCTCTCGTTCCGCATCCTCTAATTCCACTTTGGCCTTTTTGACCTCTCTTTGACTCCAGCCTTTTAAAGCTATGATAGATCTCTGAAATGCAAATGATAGAGAAAAGCTATGAACAAGAAACCACTCATGTGCCTTACCAAAAATATATATAAATCTGAGATTTCAGGAAAGAGGATGTTCCTTTGCCGTTCGTACTTCAGGAATTCACACCTTGAGTTTCTCGTGCTGAAGGATAGAGTCCTGAGCACAGCTGAAGGAGCACCTCTCGGTACGAGCGATCTCCCCTAACTGCTGAAAATTCACGGCCAGGAGATGGGCACAGTGCCTCTCCAGCTCTTCCACCGCTGTCTTTCTTGACTGGATGAGCATCTGAAAGGAAAGTAGACCCAAAGATATAGCATCGTGCAAATACATCAGTGTAAGTAACTTGATGGCTTTACCTCAACTTTGCTGAGTTACCTTAAGTATTTTGCCATTTTCATTCCATGGAGAGATGACTCCCACTTTCACCATCTCTTTCCTTCCTGAGTGTCGAACCAAAGACCTCAGTGATTCGTCAGGGGCTTCAGTGGACAGAAAAGTTGTTAACCAGGAGATTGTAACAGTTAAGTTGTGCGATAACTATGGGGATACGTAACCCTGTTTAGGGGACTCCTGTTTAATTTTCCCAGAGCACATACGAATTCATGAGAGTAGCCAGTGGCATGGTATTGAGCACTTACATTTATTTCTGTATTTCCCTTAACAAGGAACCATATCAATACTGATGTTTTACTGGATAAATTAATGGATGTAAATATCTAAAAGAAAAAAATAATAAGACATTTCGTAACGTTTTTATGAATCCTGTAGTTGATCTCTCACCTACTCTAGTGTTGTTTTGCTGGTGGACAGAGGGGGCGCCCCTGTGTCTATATGCATCACTCTTGGGTGGGACAGCAGGACCACGTGCCGGGGGCAGGGGAGCACGACGCCTGCCGTACCGCTCCCACCTGCTGTAATCCTAGAGAGCAGAGGAGTTCTTTATTGGTCGTTGTATCACGCCGGTGTTACACACCAGCTTCAATAATGCATGTGCATGCTTTCAAACTCACGCTTAATATCTATATAAATGGTGAGAAACTACAAACTCACCACTTTCTGAAAACATTCCTTAAAGGGGAATACTACATGGTTTGGTAATGTGGTCATCGTCGTTTTTGTGTCTTAAACTGCAATACCAAAAAAGAGAGACACTGGGCTAGTATTATTCTCCACGGGCACTTGATTCCCCGTTAATCTTAATACTATTTAATAATATTATGTAGCTGAAGTCCGAATTAAACGCATAACCTTTCCCTTTTCCTGATATCAACTTGAAAATTAAAAAAATTAAACGGCAGAACGTCGTAATACCTACATTACCTCAACACATCTTATACAAACAACTGTATATTTTTTATTTAATGATCTCTTTACGTGTCTGTTTACAACCTACCGAGCTGCATGGTCTGTTCAGCAGTAAGAATAACATGAAATATATAAGTAAAACCAACAGTAACTATTCCACATGCCAACTTCAGTTTGTTACTTAAACGAGGTACTCACTGTGTTCCAGGAAAAAAAACGTGTTTTGTTTGGAAACACGTTTGCTATGGAAACGTATTATGCAAAAAGTTGTGTGTTACTGCCATCTATGATCTTAACGTGATATAACAGTTTCAAGTTTGCAGTGGAAAAAATGTTTCTCCGTATACTTTGTGTATGTGCTTAATACAATATGTACAATTTATTATATAGCTAAAGGTATATTAATGTTTTAATAAAAAACTAATGTCGTTGAAAGTCCTATACTATTCCATGACGTCACCATTCCATTTATTATGTTCTACGTCAACAACTTTCAAAGTACATGAAGCAACCAATTCTCAGGTTTGGAGAGTTGAGATAGCTTAATTCTTAATTTAATTCTTCATTTATCAGATTTATTATTTAACGTTTCATATGATGTCCAAAATTTCTGTTAATCTCCACATTTGAGTAAATACTGAATTTCTCCAGCAGGCGTCACTGTATATAGTTGCGCAACTGAATAGGCGCTGAGGATCGTCCATCAAAAGCATAGACATCTCACAATTACTCATGATCACTCAATATTTAAATTTTGCTATCACAATCCGTTACCATTTGAGTCATTGTCCGTTCTAGAAAAAGTCTTGAAAATTTTGATAATCTGGTTCCGAAAATGGGAAGAGGTGTCTGATTAACTAAATTAATTCACAGTCATTCAGCAGCAATGCTATCCGCTGCCCCCCTACACAGAACCCCAGTGTAGTTACGGTACCAGTCAAATTATCGGACCCACCTTCTCAATATCATCTCTGTCCCATAATGTTTTCCATCTACAGTTACGTTAAAAATTGTCTATACAATTTTTAGATTTTCCATTACGGATGACACGTCAAACGTTTTTTCATTACGGGTGACACGTCACAATACACAATACCACCTGGAGCCAATAGAGAGCGCCTGTAGCCTCCCCTCACTACAATTGCCTTTAGTACCTGCTACAATGAAACTGGCTCTTGTGACAATCATCCCAGGAAAGTAGGACCACGTACAGCCTCTGTTGCAGATGACAAGCATATTAGTATCATTAGCCTAAGAAAATGCCAGTTAACTGCACCACAGATTTACAGCTGAAATAAATGCTTCATTGATGTCTAGCAGAGAGTAAATCTCAGCATCAACTGTTCAGAGGAGATTGCATGAATCTGGATTTTATGATGCAATTGCTATAAGAAACCTATTCTGAGGCACATAAATAAGAAGTAAGGATTGGCTTTGGCAAAAGAATACAACCAATGTAAGCTAGAACATTGGAAATCTGCTATTTGGTTAGACAAGTCCAAATTTGAATTGTTTGGCTCCAGCCATTGAGTTTTTATGAGACACAGAAAAGATGAACGGATGATGCCAGCACGTGTGGTCTCCATCGTTGTGGGACAGTGAGGCAGTGTAATAGTGTGGCACAGTGAAGCAATGTAATGGTTTGGGACAGTGTAATGGTGTGAGACAGTGTAATGGTGTGGGACAGTGAAGCATGCAATGTAATTGTATGGGACAGTGTAGCAGTGTAATGGTGTGAGACAGTGTAATGGTGTGGGACAGTGAAGCATGCAATGTAATAGTGTGGGGCAGTGTAGCAGTGTAATGGTGTGAGACAGTGTAATGGTGTGGGACAGTGAAGCATGCAATGTAATAATGTGGGGCAGTGTAACGGTGTAGGACAGTGAAGCATGCAATGTAATGGTGTGAGACAGTGTAGCAGTGTAATGGTGTGGCACATTCAGGCATGCAATAGTGAGGCATTGTAATGGTGTGTTCAATAATGAAGCAGTTTAATAGTGTGAGTCAGTGAGACAGTATAATGGCGTGAGAATGAGACAGTGTAATAGTGTGGGACAGTGAGGCATGCAATGTAATGGTGTAGCATGGTGAATCAGGCAGTAAATTTGTGTGGGACAGTGAAGCAGTGTAATGATGTGAGACTGAGGCAGTGTAAATGAGTGGAACACTGTGGTAGTGTAATGGTGTGGGACAGTAAGGCAGTGTAATGATGTGGCACAGTGAGGCATGGCACAGTAAAACAGCGTAATATTGTGGCACAGTGAGGTATGGCACAGTAAAGCAGTGTAATGGTGTGGCACTGCGAGGCAATGTAATGGGACAGTGAGGCAGTATAATGGTATCAGACAGTGAGGCATGCAGTGTAGTAATGTGGGACAGTGAAGTAGTGTAATGGTGTCAGAGTAAAGCACTGTAATGGTGTGAGTCAGAGAGGCAGTGTAATGTGTGGGATAGTGAAGTGGACAGTGAAGTAGGGTAAAGGTGTGTGGCTGTTTTGCTGGTGATGCTGTCAAAGATTTAGATAAAATTGAAATCAAAATGATCCAGCATAGCTACCACAGCATTTCACTGCCGCATGCCATCTGGTAAGCACATAGTTGGATTGTAATTTTATTTTTCAATAACATAACAACCCAAAGCACACCTTGAGGTTATGTAAGAATTATCTTGTGAACAAGGAAAGAGGTGAAGTGATGCGACCGATGACCTGGTTCCCACAATCCCTCAACTTAATCCCTATAGAGCTGGTTCGGGATGAGTTGGGGCGAAGAGTAAGAGCAATGTAGCCAATTTGTGCCCAGAACTTGTGGAAACTCTTTCATTACTGTTGGAGAAGCATTACAGGTGGCTGCATCTGAAAGCTGGTTGAAAAAATACCAAGAGTCTGAAAGGCTGTCATCGAAGCAAAGGAAGACTTATGGGAGTTTTACTTACACAAAAATGTTCTGAGGGCAGAAGAAAAAATGATTGGTTCAGAGAGATAACCAATAAGATACTACTACTAATAATAATAATTATTATTATTATAATAATTGCACATAATAAATCATGATGTATACCATGTGAACAGTAAGCGTATCTTTAGTTTTAAGTCACTGCCACTCTCCAATCCTGGTAATGTGCTTTTCGAGCCAATCCTTCTGCAGTGGAAAACCAAAGAGAACTGGAACTGTGCTGTAACTTGTGTCTCTTCGCAGTACAGCTAGGATACAGGTTGGTAACTGTATACCAGTGGAAAAGCACCATAATTTAGCTAAAATATAAATGAATGAATTAACAATAGGTGTGTCCAAACTACTGACTGATACATATGGGTACAGTATATAACTCATTGAAGACCTTGTATCGTAACCAACAGTTAGTCATAAAAGGCTATGTGAAATGGTGGAATTTTAATCGTCTCATGTGGATTCATTTTCATAAAGATTATCATATTTGATTGCGCAAACTGCCCCTAACTTGGTTAGTTAGCAGCATAGCACAAATAGCAATGCTAATAATGCAGCGGTACACAGCGTTTGGGTCAGTCACAATTCTCATCCCACTGTGTTTGCTGTTACGGCATAAGAATGAGTAAAAACCCTGTCAGAAAATGAGGCCAGATCTGCCATTTATTTGAAAAATGCCATGAAGTAAGTTACTCAATTAGCAGAAACTCAGAATCGTTTAGTTCATAAATAGTGCTGGCAGAAAGAAAGAAACGCTTGCAACTTGCAGACACACTTACAGAAGGTGATTCAAACCTTCGAACCTGCACGTGTGAGGCTGCAGTTCTACCCAATAAACCATAATATGGTGCTGTTGGTTCAAATCCCACCTCTGACTGTACATTTCACGCTGCGATCCAATTACATGTAATTAGGCCACTTGAAATCTTTAAACCATTTAACATAAATAATAACCACTATCCAGCACTTGTAACTCTGCACATGTATAGACAGCAAACACAGGCTACACATCCTTGTTGGAATTACAGGTTTGCATGATGTAAAGCCAGAAATTCACTTCAATTCAATTAATTTCTACATAACACATTTCACAATACAGTCACCCCGAAGCACTTGACAAGAGTGTGCCACAATCCATCACTGCATCATTTATACAAAATGGTGCATAAAACAGGGAAAATGGAAAGAAAGACAATGGAGGAGAGGAACCAAAAACTGACAGAGGACAAAACCTCTGGGCGTCCAAGGTTGACTGACTGCCTAACCCACCCAGGAAGGCTAATATTACAGAATATGAGGAGAATAAGTCTGCTCTAACAAAAGCAAGGTGTAAGCTATGGTCACAGTCAGAGTCCATCGATGAGCCAGTTCTCCATGCCAGCCTGTGTAGGATGGCAGATCATAGGTCGTACCTATGATGTCATACTTCTTAAGCCGAATCCATGATGTCACCCTTTCATGGGAAGCAGGACTCCAGCTGGGATGGTGCCCACCCCAGGAACAATTTGGACATGTTGGAAGGAAGGCAGAAAACATGGGTGGTGAGAACATTGACACATTAGAGAAGCATCATAGATAAAAATGGCAAGCACCACAGCCAACGGCAGCAGCAGCCATAGTTACATTGTGTTATGTGTCAAGTAAGATAAACTGATGTAATAGGTTTTCAGTTGATATTTAAAGACTGAGACTGATTCAGCATCCTGGACATGATCTGGCAGACTGCTCCACAATATAGGGACCCTGCAGCAAAAGGCTTCACCTCCAGCTGTTACTTTATTTATAAGTGGGGTGACATTCTGTGATCTGAGAGGGGGGGGGGATGGTAATGGGACACTGCCTCCCTTAGTCGCCTGAGACAAAATTACAGTTAATTGGCAGGACCAGCATTGTGCTATGTTCTGTGCTGGCACTTTGCACCTTTGCACAAGTGTTTTGTTGATTCCCTATAAGTAGACAAACAGTGGGTTATGTGAATGCCAGATACGTGCGTTAACACGTAGGGTAAGCAGGATGCAGGATTCAATGTTCAATGTGGCCTTGTAAACAAAAAAGGAGAAAAACAAATCAATAACTAATAGGACAAGCAAAATTCAAAAACCCACTACACCCTAGTTGCATAGATGTGCACGTCTTTAATAACGGAGTTTTATCAGTGTTCTCAGGTAACCAGTAACACTCATAATCATGTGTAAAGGTAAGTAACATACAGTACATCTGACGCCAATGAAAGTCATTAGGATTATCCCCGAATAAAGCCCAGCTATCATGTAAGATTTTCTTCTGGGATAGAAAGGGTTTAGGAAAGAACAGTTAGTGATTAAACTGTACATAATGGAGCCCCTGATCT